GCCTGTCGCCCACCCACAGGTGGGGGTTTGGGCGGCGCCCCAACTCCTTCCCGTGTCAGCCTCATGTGCTGGTGTTTCTGCATTTACTTGGGGCCACGTTGGTGGCTTTGTCACATCACGTCCCAGAGACCAGGGACAGCGGCCAAGATGGAGGATGGGGTTGAGGGGGGGGCAGATGAGATGGGGAAACCGTCACAAAACGGCCAGAGCCTGAGCAGGGACTCCCGCGGGGAAGAGCCGGGCGGCCCGCCCAGCTCCCACCGCGGTGCAGGGTGCAGGCACGTTGATTGGAACTGTCTGGGGGGGGGTGTCCCCGTCACGGGAGGGGCTCTGGCCACAGTGTGGAGTGAGCGTCTCCATTCGGGGTGCGACGGGGGATGGCGATCGTGTAGCCCAGACTGAAGCTTCCCTCCGGCCGGGGCAGCGGTCGGTGTGGCCTGACCGGAGGGACGGAATGTGAGGGCATCCAGAGGCCTGAGCGCCGTGTCCCCGCAGGACCCGCAGTACGTGCAGCAGGCGCTGACGCACGCCCTGCTGATGGACGCCGTGGTGGGCGCGCTGCAGACGCCCGGGGCCATCTACGCCGCCTCCAAGCTGTCCTACTTCGACAAGATGCGGCGCGAAAGTAAGGGCGCCTCCGGGCCTCGATCTGGGGCGTCTGGCGCGTCAATCCCAGGCACAGGCTTGGATGCCTTTGTTTATTTTATTTAAAAAAATATTTTTCTGGCTTTGGGAGAGGAAGGGAGAGGGAGAGAGAAACATCCATGATGAGAAAATCACCCATCGGCTGCCTCCCGCACGCCCCCACTGGGGATGGAGCCCACAGCCCGGGCCTGTGCCCTGACGGGAATCGGACCCTGACCTCCTGGCTCCTAGGTCGACGCTCAGTCCCTGAGCCCCGCGGCCAGGCTCTGCCTTCCAATGATGTCGCTGTCACTGTCCTGACCCTTCCCTCTCCTCCTGACGGACCCAGGGGCACGTTGCTTGGGGGCCGTGTCCGTGGCCGTGTCTGCTTTTAAAGAGCTCCACCCGCGAATGGCCAGGCCCACCGAGCGGCCTCTGAGGCCACATGCCCGCCTGTTGTTTCAGTGCCTGCGGCCGTTCCCAAGACGACGGCAGAGACGCTGAAGCACAAGATCAACCCTTCGGCCGGGGAGACCTTCCCGCAAGCTGTGGATGTGCTGCTGTACACGCCGGGTGAGCGGGCGGCCGCGCGGGTGAACGGGGACGGGGTCCTGCTCTTCGCGGTGAAAACCACGGCAGCTGCTCTGTGACGCTCTGTGGCCGTCACCACGTGGAGGCCGGCGCCGAGGAGCCTGAGGGCGGGGGCAGGGCAGGCGTTCCCGCAGGCGTCGCTCAGAGGCCCGCAGAGGTGACAGGCGGCACTCGGGGCCTCTCCCAGTGAACCTGGTCCTGTTGTCATGGTTACAAAGTGACGGGAGTCCCCTTGGGCGGGCACCCGGACCAACTCAGGCCTGTCTCCCCTCTCCCTCCGTCCCTGGTGCCCACAGCCCTGCTCCTCCACCCCCTCAGCCCCAAACCCACTGTCTGGGACTTCAGTGACCCTCCAGACCCCGCGGGGTCACCTGGCACTCACCTGGCGCCTCGCAGGAGCCCGTGGCACGGCCCGCGCTGCTGCAGCGAAGGGTTTCCATGACCCCCTATCGGTTGCTCTTCCCTTTAGGGCACCTGGACCCGGCGGAGAGGGTGGGGGACGCGCGCCCCAAGCTGTGGTGCGCCCTGCAGGCGGGGAGAGTGATGGTGTTCGACGCGTCGTCCTGGAGCCTCCACCAGCACTGCGTCCGCGTGGGCTCCTCTGCACTGGTGCGTCTCCTCGCGGGGAGGGAAGGGGACGGCCAGGCCGCGGGACAGGACCCTCCGCGCCCTCCGCTCTGGCATCGGGGGCTCTCGTTTCTGCTTCAAGTTTTTAAGTTAAACGTGAGCTGGTTCCAGCTTTACTGCAATGTTCTCATTTAAATGAGCTGATAACGGCTTAGCACCCTCGCTCCGAACCTGCCTGGACCTCCGGCGCCTCGGCTCAGCCCGAGTCCTCTGCTCGCCTCATGCCGCACGCGGGGTTGTCTTAAAAAATATATGTTTATTGACTTCAGAGAGGAAGGGAGAGGGAGAGGGAGAGAGAAGAACATCCATGATGAGAGAGAATCATGGATCGGCTGCCTCCTGCACGCCCCACTGGGATCGAGCCCACAACCCGGGCCTGTGCCCTGACCGTGACCTGGTTCATGGGTCAGTGCTCAACCACGGAGCCACCTGGCGGGCCCATTGCTGTGCCTTTTCTGGGTGGTCTCCGTGTTGAGCCCGTCCGTCCCCAGGTGTGAGCGGAGAGCTGCCTGGTGTCCCCAGGAGCGGGAAGGCGTGCCCTGATCGCGGAGATGGTGCGTTAGGTCATCCGCTCAGACCTCCTCCCGTGATGTTGGCCGTGGGCTCGCGTTGACGAATCAGCAGTTCACATAAAATGTGACGTGTCGGTGGGTCGAAGCTCCAGGAACTTGCCGCGCCCCCAGGAGTGCTGGCTCAGCTCGCGGGTTCCCTTCCCCACAGAACTGCATGGCGATGGTGGCGCAGGGCCAGGTGTGGGTCGGCTCTGAGGACTCCGTCATCTACATCATCAGCGTCCACAGCATGTCCTGCCACAAGCAGCTCACCGAGCACCGCGCCAGCGTCACCGGCTTCGTGGTGCAGAACGGGCCAGACGCGCCCAGGTACCCTGGCTCCCCAGGCGTCGCCAAATGCCCTCTTGGGACATTCTGAGAACAGCACCCTAGTGAGGGAGGAGGTGCAATGGCGCCCTCTTGTGGACACTCTGTGTGTGAGCGGTCACCTGCAGGGGCCTGGACTCAGACGTCAGGGACAGAGCAGCGCTTCTCCTGTGGGAACAACCCCAGGCTTCCCGCTGGCTAACGAGATGCGTTTCTGCCTCCAGCCAGGTGTACTCGTGCAGCGTGGATGGGGCGGTCCTGGCGTGGGACGTGAGCACGCTGCAGGTGACCCGCAGGCTCCAGCTGCCCGGCAGTGGCCTCTCGTCCATCCAGCTGCACGCCGACTGCCTGTGGTGCTGTGAGTCCTCCGCCCTCACCAGAGAGCGCCCGCGCTGAGTTCCAGCTGTCATGTTAAAAGTCCAGTCTTCCTGGTCCCTTCTCTGCACCCCCCCTGGGCGGGTCAGCTCTCCCCTCACCTCTGCCCGCTGGTGGCATGGGTACAGGGCATGCACTCCCAGGAGTCGCCTGTGAGCAGCCGAGGGTGTGCGTGCCCCTCCCCCCAGCACAGAGCAGGGGGAGGTCTGCGGGCTGAGCCAGCCTGTGCCAGGGTGGGACGGAGCTTTGCGTTGTGCCTGTGGCGTGTTCTGCATTCCCGAGGCCCTCGGAAGCCAGCTGCACGTGAGGCTCCCGCGTGTGCCCGTCACGGAAAAGCTTCCGTGTGGTGAAGGGCACAGGGCATCCAGTGCGTTGTGCTTTGGCCAAAGCATTCGCCACCCAGCCCGTCAGTCCAGATACAGAGAGCACTGCCCCCCCAGCCCACGCTGCCCGCAGCCCCTCCGCTGTGTGACGGAGGCCCCGTGGGGCTCTGCCCGCCCTCACCCGCCCCTCTTGCAGGCACTGGGAACAGCATCATGGCCGTGAACAGCTGCGTCCGGCAGGAGCTGAGGATCGACGAGAC